GAAAGTAGATGTTTTGTAGATAGTTTTAATATGTTTTCTTCCAAACATTAATTATATATAATTATGATATAATTTTCAAAGACTTAATTCTTTGAAAAACATTAAAAAGATTAACTGTTTTGAAAATGTTTATAATTTACATTAAAACAACATGTTGTTCAATTCATGACATCCAATAGAACATTATAAAACAATTGTAATAAACCATAAATTAGAAAATTCCAAGTAACCGTATAGAAAATGTTAATAATGAAACATTCACGAAAAAATATAACACTCTACACTACCTATAACTGTTTTAAGTACCCCAGTGAATCGATAAAAATCCATAAAACATTTAGTAGTTGTGATGTTGTTTTGTTTTGTCAAATTAAATCGAAAAAATTCACATACTTATGAAATGGTAACGACAACACTTTCAGTGGTAATACTTTTTCATGCTCAATATCATGCATGTTAAAAGTGGAATTGAAATATGCACTCCCATGAATTATTGAACTTAAAAATACCTGATTTTATTCTCTTAAAAATAAATGGTTTGATGATTTAATAAAAAAACAATGTAATTAATAATTTTTAGGGGCTATTTGTAGCCAGTTATAAATCTGTAGGACACATATACTTAATTACTAAAGTCATTGTATTACTAAAAAAATTTTAATTTAAAATATCTATAGATATTTGGTAATGGTAGGTATAATAAACTCGTTACTAAATTTCTTGATATCTTTTTTAAAACAATGTAATCACATTACATTTACATTCAATGCAAATGCATGCATCTGCTTTAGATTTTTTTAATATTGCAAATCAAATATTTATTCAATACTTTTAGAATTTTGCCATATTACTTGGGTATATCTATATATAAAATATAAATTTTATAAAAGACACAGAATACAGTTACGAATGAACTTAACATGACTTTCTGCACTGATTACACATTTGATTTTAACTTTAAAATTTACTAAATATTATTCTCCCGTGTACTATGGTTTCTTGCACATAAATGAATACTATTAATTTTATTGTAAAGAAGTAATAAAATAAATTTACCAAAAATTAGACATGCCTCCTTTTTAAACTGGGCAAACTAATGTACTGTCATCTCTGCCTACTAAGACAAGGTTGAATATAAAATATTGTTAATTGTAAATAAATTAAACTACATATTAATCAAAAGTTTAAATGATATTATTACATCCAAAAAATTATAATTTAAAATAAACTAGCTTTATTATGTAGAAATGTCAAGGAACGAATATAAGATTCAAAATAAAAAAACACTCCAGTCTAATACTTTTTTACATTATTTAGAAGACTCCCATTTACCCTGAACACAATAGGTCAGGCCGGATATCCGGTCATTATCATTTGTGTAAACTCTTCCAATTGATCAGCAGCTCTTAAAGAGATTCAACCGAAAGTCTAACAGTAGTTAAAAATTTTGTGACCATTCTTCAGTGGCGTAGACAAGATTTCATAAATGAAAGGCATAGTTCAAAAATTTTAAGAAAGTTCATATTATGAATTTTTTTATTTAGTCATCATTTTTTTTAAAGATAAATATTGCTATCCGTTGTAAGGTCCATGACTCCTATAAACCTCCTGTCTACGCAACCAATTTATACGAATTGTACTAGACTTGGCATTTTAAAAGTCTATAAGCAAAATACGACTGAATAAACTAAATATTTAAGTTAATATTAAAAAAATTATTTTTATTAGCGATCACAGAATGTTTGACATACATATCTAAAAACGTCGCTCAACTCAGTAACTTAAACTTATTAATAGGTTATTTATATTTGAGTCAGTATTTCATTTGTTTACTTGTTTCTTACAGTTTCATTATCTAGAAATTCAGTCCTTACTTTATACGCGAAGTTTATACAATAATAACACAGCGAGACTCTTACACATATATCATCGTGATATTGATTTTTTTCATTGAAAATATTCTATTTATACAACTTTGAAAAACTCATTATAAAATTTGTTCTAAGTACCACCAGCTTTTTGGTTGTCTCCGTTTGTTGAAACTCTATAAGCACTATTTACTCAGTTAACTATATTCAGATGAAGTATTAAACCAATAGATGGAAAATATGAATTAAAAACAATGCATAGTGGGTTTAAGAGTTAAAAATACATCTAGTGATGTTTTCTAAAAGTTCTGTATAATTATTATACATAGATGTGGCGTTTTTTTTTTTAATTTTATTTATTCGAAAATTTAATTATCAGTTATTAGTTACAAATATCGAATTAACGGTAATCACAAAATTAAAAAAGTGTTAAAGACCCATTACTAATTTATACATAATTGAAACAAAAAGTTTATATGTATTGACTATTATTATTTTAATAAAAATAATAATAATATATAATAATAATTTTTTAATAAAAGTATATCAATTTTATTATTTATTTATCTACTTTCTTTAGTTATAACTTTTTCAATTATTTTAAATAAAAGTACATTTTTTTTTTAATAGTGAAAGTAATAAAAATTGTTCTCAAATTTTTTTGTGATACTAAAAATATTTTTCATATATTGAATTCATAAATTGAAGGTTTCCACAATTTAAAATCCTGGAACTGATAGAAAATAGAAATTTTAATCATTTATTATTCATTTTTTAACAAATTACTCTCAAATAATTAATAAACTCATACTATAATCTTAATTAGACTATTATAACAAAAACCACAGACTACATAACTGATTTTATTAAGAGAAGACAAACATAAAAAATCTTTACTTTTTTTGTTAATTTTTATCTAATAACATTAGATTTGTTTAATAGGTGGGGTGATTGATGATTTTTGTTTAAAAATGTTTTTTTAATTATGACTGTTATTCCATTTGAAGATATAAGTATAATTTTCCAGAAAGAATCAATAACACACCATTGAATGCATTGAGAAGACAATCACTAAAATGTGTATGTAATGAAAACAACAATGTGACATTAAAGAGGACAATATTGTTTTGCTAATTAACTGACCGTGTTATCTAAAATACATCTATCTTTTCCTTTATTAGATTTACATGTTAAATTAAAATGTGTCCTAACTATTCTACGGAACTCATTAAATGGACCATTTTGTTAACAACGTTTTTCCTATTCTCTCTTACGCTTTAACAAACTTCAATATTTACATTTGCATTACAAAAGAAAAACGAGTTAAACGATTATTTTTTAATTATTTATTTAATTTACATAAGTAAATTAGAAATTAAATAACCTTTTACTATACTATTTAAAAAAGATAAGGACCAAGAGTAGGCGATAGATAAATCGTCCTTTATATAACCGCCATTGACTACAATCATTAATATTAGGCAGTTAGCATCCAAGTTTTAAGTTGATTTATTCTTATAAATGTTTTATATTGTATAAATGCTAATTCTACAGAACAGGTTTTATTAACGTTGCACTAAAAACAATCAGAATCATCAAAATATAGAGAATAACCTTTATTGCTGGGTTATTTTGACTTTAAATCAAATTAATGACAAAATTGAACAATGGAAAACTAATTTGACAAGGCCGTATAGAAAGAAAAATGTTGTGATAGTCATATCACAAAAAACTCAATTAATTGAATAGATGACTGATAATTGTACCTATCATTATTTATAAATGGCTGTCATTACACTAACATAATATCACGATAAAATTGACCATATCTGTTTATAATACTTAAGCAAACTAATAATTAACTATGAAATTATTAAATATAGTTTATGTTTTTTATTTGCAAAATAATTTTTGGGAGGTATTTAGTGATCGCATATTTATTATACAAACTCAATTGACGATTTCTTAAGCAATAACAAGTCACATGATGCTATTATAATAAGATATCTGAATAGTATTAGCTTCGATGCGAAGCTGAGAAGGTATTAATTTTACTATGATGTGTTTTTTTATTTTTTTATTTTTTTTTTTGTGTC